GATGAAGTGTAATGAAAATGAAATGAATTAATAGTCAAAAGTAAATTAACCCCAAAAGTTTTATAGTACTCAACGAAACGTAACAGAAGAGGATGTGGCGAAAGCGAAAGAAGTTTTCAGGGAAGCCAAGAGTGATTTTCGTTTGGCTATGACTGCGTACAATGCAAGTTTTTAATGTGTATTACATGCAATTTTAGCCTTATTCTCTGATTATCATCGCAGTGATTATAGTCTACTGGTACTATTATATTTTGCGGGGGTTATTGCGTATTGTTTCTTCGGCAATATTAGGACATGCTTGCTCGTTATTATCGTTAGTATTGCGAACATTATCATCGATATTGGTAACACATAACAATAACGATACTATTACTATTGTTGTTGTTATATAATATGCTTTTGGTAATTTCAGTATTCAGTATAATAATGTAATATTTTCAGGAAACGAAAAAAGTAATTGAGGAACGTCGTAAGCATTTCATCAATCACCGAGGATTGATTACGTTTCGATTGTGTGAAATCTTTGACGGTTTGCTAAGCTTGCGGAAATTTAAAGGACGGCTTGAAATAAGCCATAGAGATAAAACCGCCAGAATTGTGGTTAGTATTTCACTGTTGTTTTGCATTAGCGTTGTTTTTTATGTATACCAAATTTGGGTGCACTCGCATGATTTTCTTGTGTATATTTCTTTACTAATATCAGTTGTATTCGTATTATTCTTTTGATCTAACCTGCTGCTGAATTCGTGCTTCAGATTGAGCAAGTTGGTGCATCGAATGATAACTCACTGGATGATAGTGGTTTTCATGGAACGGATGATGGAGAGGCACGTAGTTTCCGAGATTTGAAAGGTAGAAACATTCATTGCAGTTATTTATTTATAGCTGGATTTTTGCATTGTTATGGATATTATTATCGCGTTGAATATCAGGTTTGTCTGGCGGTGAACGAACGTACACATTGGCATGCTTTATTATGGCGCTTTGGGAAATTGTGGACGCCCCTTTCAGGTGATACTCTTTGTGATATTTGGCCATTTTTAATGTTNTCATGGAATACACTCGTCGTGTGGTACGTGAATTGCTCATGTTCGCTTGAAAAGCAAAAATTGTTACTCAAGTCTTCGGCACGGATTGAACAGTTTGATCAAAATCTTTGGATATGAGTTGAGTGATCAGTTCACATTGATATCTGCATTGTATTTAATTGCTCTTCGCATTCGATCATTCGTATGAAAAGTCGATTGATTAGAGCAGAGATTGCAATTACAATGATTGTATTGCATATGAAGGCGTGCGATGGATTGCAGTGTTGATTAGTTATTATAATTCAGATGTATGGATGAATTTGACGTCTTCTTGGACCATTTGAATCGTGGAATGGTGATGGAATTGTTGGTGAAATTGGCCACGAAACGATTTCCCCAAAAGCAGTTTCTGTTCTTTACGCCATTAGGATTGTCGGACTTGAAAGGAAATGAACGTGTACAAATTTACGAAATGAAAAAACTCGAGCACAACGCATGAACCGGTGTGTAATTTGTTTGAAATCAACATATGATCTATTGCTCATTATTACGATTCTCGTAGTGTGTATACCTCTTATATCGTTTGAAATTAATACCAGTTTAGTAATCGTTGTTGTGAATATTTTCGTTGCGATTGTTAATATTCTCACTATCATTGGGAAAATGTTGTCAAAGTTGCCTTTGAAATGATCTCATTTCAGTATTGTACGATATTGCATCTGATCAGCTTTAATCTCGCAGATCAATTCATTTCACTTTCATCTTTTAAAATTACTCTGATCTTATCTCATATACTGAATTGCATTTGTGAATGCAAATAGTATAAATTTTTGCATTATTCGTATTGCTATTGTTTTTGTAATAATCCTGATTGTTACTTTTATTGTTACTAATGCCATTTTTATTGTCAGTAATTCTTACATTCATTTGTAATGAGNCAGATTTCATTTTGTGATTATGCAATGTGGGTCTGTGTCGGACTTGAACTTGCATAGAATTGTAGGATTTAATCTGTTTGATGGTATTGTTTTTGGGTAGAAACAACTTGCTGTGCATTAATTTTTCATAACGTTTGTTGCTGTTGGTTTTCTTGTAACAAATAAAAAATTGTTTATCATATTAATGAAATGTTTCAAGATTGTTTAGTTAGATTTGTTTTGTTTTGCGTGTTTGATTTTTAAATTATTTGTGATTTGAGTGAGTTGTGAAAAAGGCACACATCTGATACTCATACATACAGTACGAACAGTCAATGTTTGTATAAGATCATATTAATCAAAGCGTGGTGTGTGACTGTGAGGTTGTATCTTAAACTTTTTATTTCCATATTTCAAATAACACTTTTTTTCGAAATAAAAGTATATTATTTTTTATGCGATGGAAAAATCGCAATGTCGACAAGACTCAAGGCTGATTACCGACCAAACATAATGCCGCATACATTTAGCATTCATCAAATCATATCGATCAAAGTGTGAAATTTACGTTTCACGTTTTTGAAGTAGTTTCATATGCTCTGTGAGGTGGACACAAAGAATTATCATGATGTTCATAAGATCTGGACGTAATGGTTACTTGATTATTGTGCACATAGTGCAGATGGTTAACATGATTATGAAGATCGAGCTGTGGTGTTTAAAGGCTGTATCTCAACAAAATAAACTTGTTGTTCGACATCAGAAGCGACTTTCTAGGACCTGAAGTGGTGCAGAAGGTTATGATATCCTGACAGCAATAACAATCCTTTGAGAATCTCATCGCTGATCTCTTTTCTTACTTTCAGCACACTACCCATAGGCAATTTTGGCGAACTATCCGTCTAGGCTGTAAACGTTAGCATTAACATATGTCAACTAAAATTAACATACTATGAGCAACAATTTCATTTATTGTTTCAAGAACGTTTGTAGTTACGAAGTTGCACTCATTAGATGCCATTGTTATGGTAACGCAGAGGGATTATTTTCCTGTGGCATTCTATTCGTTATTCTTATTGTTGTTGCGTTTTTTTGCGTGTGATTCCTTCAGGTTGAATAGTAGCGCTTTTGGTATCTTTTCATCGTGCTCGAATTAATTATAACTTGCCTTTCGAGAATCGTTCTTTAGTTTCAGGAATACTGGTCGAAGGAACGCTTCGAAGCGGAAAAATTCAAAACGAAGGACCAAAAGAACATGTCGGCGCTTGTCACGCAACTCTCGGAGCTGTAAGTTCATGCATTCATCAGTAATTCGTTGATTGGTACTCATTTGAATGATCTTTATGGCCATATAAAGTGGAAGTAATTCGTGGAAATTTCAGTACGGCGACTCCGGCTATCGGTAGTTGGGCCGAAGCAGTGGAACAAGAAAGTAAGTTTGTTTTCATCCATCGGTTTCTCGTGTATCTTATTTGATCTCATCTAATCACCAATCCATAGTTTTAGTACGATCGAAATAATGAAACGATTCAACGAATTGCCTCAGTATCCGAATTTTATGCCGTAGAATATATCCTTTTTTATGGGCTTCCTTGTTGAATCATCCATGTATTTTCGTGAAACGATTACCCATCATTTACTTCGTATATTCCTTCTCATTGCTCATGCGGATTACTGTTGCTTTAATACAATTTGATATATCATGAATTCCGTATTTGCAGCGTTAAGTGGTCGTCATGAAACGACGAAGGACGGAATTAAGACTGTGACTGATATTGTCACAGATGACACTGGTAAATATAAGGTGAGATCTCAGTTGTGATGTAGAGAATTTATGTTAATAATGGTGAATTTCTGAAAAATCTCAGCAATTTTCAGTTACCAAGTTACTGACAATTTCAGTAACTCTTTCGGGAAATAACTGTTATGCTGATTACTGTTGATGAACTTGCAGCAACGAATGTGAATGAGTAGAGGTTAAGCTAGAAAGAGTGAACAAATGCAATTGAGTAGAGCATTCGTGGATTATTCGTTCGTTTTTGGATCGTTTTGCTTTGCAGGTGATAACAACATTCAAGGTGGTTACGAAGAAGGTTCCGAAACCAATTGCGGAACGAAAGAAATGGAAGAAATTTGGCCAGTGCAAAAACGATCCACCAGGTCCACATGTTTCGACCACTTATGTGGCCGAAGAGGTGATATTACAGTTCATCAGGAATCGAGCCGGAGAGGTCAGTGAGCACTTATGATGCGATCGCTTGTTTACGTTTTTCAGTTGATTCGTTAGTGAACAGTGAACGATTATATGTTCATTAACGGTATGTGCATATGATTGAAAACACATAGATAAGGTACAATTTCAATCGGTGATACTATGATCATAAAAATACAATGGAAACTTTATGTTTCATAGATGTTGATGCGACATTCCTTTAGAGTGGCGTTATTGATCAGTTTGGTTAATGATTGGCCACAAATAACCATTATTTCAGCAACAATTGGATACTGGAGAAGAAACCGCGCGAGTTTCGATGAAGGGTTCATCA